GAGGGTCTTGTTTTTTTTTCGAATAGGCGCATAACAGCAGTCATCTACGGAATTTCCTTCGCCTTCGACTAAAGATTTTAACCCTTTCCATGATAGCGTCTCCATTTGGAGACACTATTTGATATTCATTCAAAGCTTGTAGCAGCATGTGTAGCAAATATTTGAGGAAAAGCAGAAGTCCAATTGAAAGAATGAACTGTCACCCAGTAGCAATGAGCCTCAGTTACAAGCAAGTTTTCGCTTGAGTTTAGTGCATCTCTGACCACTCACATATTAATTTGTCATGGAAAGGGTTAAAATGAATCTAATGCCTATCAATATTCAACCTTTGAAAATCGTATTCCTAGACTGACATTGAATCAGGTGTAATCCCATGTAAGAGGAGGAAGGTGAAACACTTGGGAGCCATGTACGCTAAGGAAATACGGGTTCGTCATCCTCCACCAGCACAAGGAAAGCGCGAGTTGAGGATGCCAAAAAAAAGGTAGGTAAAGGGTAGGCATAGCTTTGTTCCAGTCTGACGAGGAGGCGACCGTCGCCCTCGCTCTAGCCCCCCTCCTCCTCCCCCTTCCCCTAAAGATACGCCTGTGTCGTCTGGGTTAACTAAGTCATATTCCGTCCGGAGCACGTTCTCTGCATGCCTGCTTCGACTGTGAAGGATGACATGCTTATACCATACCGTTTTGCCTTAGATTCTCGCTTCGACTGTGGCGAATGACGATGAATCGCCAGTCAAAGCATGGGATATACCGCGTTTTGGCTCTGACTAGCTTGCTCAACGGCTGAACCCTCATTTCACCATTCCAACCCGTACCTAGCACTCTATTTCTCTTTTTCTTTGCTCTATGTCTTTTCATTGGCGATAGGTAATGACAGTAAGGCGATACTTGACTTCGGAAATTTCATGATTGCGCTTCTCCAAGTACAGTCTCCTCAATTCTGGCGACTTCCCTTTCTTCCTCTCATTTTTCTTCGGACATTTTTACTCAGCTGCATCTCTTCCTTTCCACAGCTGCTTTTGCTACTCTGATAACCCCAGCTATCATCCAAACACAACCAACAAATTTAGATTTTTTAATATGAAGAAGTTCAATTTAACAATTACGTCAGTCACCGTCTGAAGTGTTAGTCGCACTTTCACGATGGCCTTGGTCCATATCTAAGGAAGAAATGATCATCCATGGCTTACGCCTAATCCATGGAAAGTGATAGTGAGCTATTTGCGGGAAAGCATTGATAAAACATTCTACGAGGAAAAAATTAGTTTGTGACGAACAAAATGCATTTCATAACATACAATGTGAAGTAAGTTGAAAGTTTTTTGGAATGAGAGGAAACGGAGTTTCCATACTTGCTCGGTGTGGGAACGGCGTTTCCTAAAGCTTATCGAGAGGGAGTGGGAATACCCTTTCCATTCTTCTTGCAGGAAGTTGAAAAACTTTGACCGAAGCGAGCTCCTGCAATTAAGGACAATCTCCCCCAGATGCATTTTGAGTGTAAAAAAAAAATAGCGTCACTGAAAGAAGGAACTAGAGGTGGGACGGAGCGAGAGGTTCAACATATCACCCCCCCCCCCCATGCCCCTCTCGTTTATATCGTTCCCATACTTCTGTAAATCGACTTTCATTAAAGGTTATAGCATACTCTGTTATTCCTGTGCAGCGCCACGAGAACACCAGTGAAAGAGTCGTTCCATACTGCATACAGAATTTCATTCATTGATCTACAAGAAACTTCATACGCTCTGAAGCTATTCAAAGACTGAGCTGTCATATGACGCAAGAAAATCAGATTAATTTGTTCGATTTTTCCCACAATTCTGAAATGAACCTCAAATTCGCCCCCATGTCTCACAGAAGGATCGTTATTCTGGAATCATTATAATAAGTTGAGAAGAGATCTTTAAAATGAGAGATCATTCCCAAGTGGAAATTCAAATATTTTCACAAACTTTAAAGTGGAATGACCCTGATGCACAATAGCAATATTTGGCGATAAATATACGTATACAAGTTACGTATATAAGTTTAGGCATAAATAATGTTTGCCTTTCTCCCCTAATTCATTCCTGGTTATTCAAATAGACGGATCGTCGACTAATACCATGCTATCTTACCTCCCAACCGTCTTTTTGGCATGTGTACTACGGTCTATATAGACTTTCCCCATCGTGGTTGTTCGGCATCCGACTGACTGAAATGACTTTGGACGATAAGTCGCAGACCCGTTCGCACTCGTGGGCCATTCATTGAACGTTCTGCCTTCGCACCGAAAGGCAAACAAATCTAGTGCAAGCTTACTGCATATTCACATGTAACACCGCTAAGTTCATTCTATTTTGAGAGTTTTGTTTTTGGGGATTTTTGAACTTGAATGAAAGGATGGCACAGGGAAAATTACATTTCAAATTAATTACTTTAAAGTATTTTCCCAGGTTTTTTTCCAGAAAAAAAGCTTTAAGAAGGTGAGTAAAAAATAACTGTTTTTACAGCTGAAAGTTTCCGGTGGAAGGTACCAGTTACAAACCCTGACTCCCGCCCAGTCTCCGTGTTCCTCAATAATTTTCAGATATGCAACCTCCCATATTGCATAGAACTCCATGTCCAGCAAAAGGAAACCTGAAAAAAGTTATGCGAGCTATCAAGATTCGAGGAATGCTGCGCCCATCCAGCTGGGTGGCAGCCGAGGTTAGTTACAGTTAAAAAGCTATAGAAAATGTCAGAGGCAAAAATGTGGTATTTTTCTACTTTCCCCAATTTTTTTTCCTAATAAAGACTAGGGAAATGCAAGGAAATGACAAATTAAAATTTCAATTACGCGCAGCAGTCCCTTCACTGAAGCTCGAGAATAATTTAAAGCCTAACTGAAGAAGATTGAATCTCCAAAGGGTGACACCGTTATCATTACCTTATGACTGATGACCATCTGACGGAAGCACTCCAGTACTTTCCTTCGTCCTGCTTCTTTTATCTTATCATTTTGCTACTTGAGAAAAAATTGTTTGTCCATGAGTAATTTAAATACTACAGTATATAAAAATTAAACTAGCATCAGTAATCGAAACAGCAAATAGCAAGTTATAGGAAACTCATCATTTTCGAGAATAGGAATTATGCAATTCGATCATTTGTTTCGACTATTCAAATCCATCTTCACGCTTTCAATGAAAGACAGAGTCCAATCATGCTTATGAGCAAAAAACGTGGTTATTCATAAGCCCCCCCAGGGATGGGTGTTCACAAAATGGAAGCAGTCTCAGCCCTTATCTCAATGTTACATTTACATTCAAGACAGGTCGAGGTAATGGTTTGGCTTTGTCTCTGCTTTCTCTTAGAACTGCAACACCCATGCCATTTTCTCCATGAGAACCAGTTCCAAACTCCGTGTTAAACCTATCTCTCTCCATCACATTTTGATCCCTGCCAACCAATTATAATGGACATCTTGGATCTGATCATGGGTGACAGGAATGGAAGGCCAACGGTAGGCAATTTGTTCATTCCAGATATTCAACTACTTCAAAAGGAATTTCATAAAATGAGTTTCCATCCATTACAAATTCATGACAATTAATTATGTTGGAAGTCTTAACACGCTTTAGAATGAAACTTAACTTTAAAAAATTGACGATAATTTATAATTCGTGCTTGCAGTTAAACTACTTTTGGTTTCCCGGATTTTGGATCTAAAATAAGATCACAAAATGTCATGTAATCAGGGTGGCTTAAGCTAAAGCACGATTTTGATTAATTCTTGCCATTAATTATTCAAATTACAAATGCAATCATTCCTTTCCAGCACTGCCTTCATCCTACTCTTTCTAGCAATCAGTGAGTTCCACAGCCATGCATGAATGGTCCTAAAGTGAAGACCAGCCTTTGCATCCATTCATGAAGCCATGGAGGCATGAAACAGCTGAGTTATGAAGCCATCGCTAGTAAAATGCCCTGCATTCGAAATGTTCTTTCCTGCTTTTAGAGCGAATGGATTTTGAATGGGAATTCTCCACAATGAATGTTAGTTAACTTACCTATTATTTCTAGCCTTCTCTTCGGGTTTTCCTTTTTTCCCTACGGTTTTTACCAGTAGACAGAGTAAATCGTGTTCGGCAAATTATAAATCCCGATGGGGTTTGGCAGGAGCTGCTCCGTTTTGCAGCGAATGTGCAGACGCTCCTTCGGAGACTATTACTTGGAGGCCTGGTTAGATAGAAATTTTTGCATCAATTGCAATTTGCATCTGCAATTATGTTAAGACTGGCGCTGCCAGTCTTAACATGATTGCAGAATCCATGAACATAAGGGGGAAACCCCTGTCCTCCGCCTTTAGCTGTCATAAGGCTTTCCCAGCAATTTAATGTAATTACATAAATAAATAAATTACTGTAGTTAAATATTTTCTGAGTAATTTTGTCTGTAATTCACCAAAAATTTTCTTCTACCTCGGGAAAAGTATTTAATAGGTACTTCATTTATATGTACAACCTAAGCAATTTTAATTATCTGGAGCACTGCTCTGGTTTTCTCTCAGAATCGCAATAGTCGAACATGATGTCTTTCAGAAGCTTTTGCATCTCGAGGTCGGAAATTCCAAGGCTAATTTGTGAACTCAATGAGTGTGACAATTCTAAGAAGCACTGTTTAACTTTTATTTCTGAATGATATCTGATGAAAGAAACCTCTTCAGTTGGCAGCCATCATAATGATTGTTACTTCTGAGAAGAAAGCACTTGGCAACAGCAAGAAAGAGAGTGGAAGATGTCATGAGAGCGTACGTTATTTTCTCCCGTGTTCCTTAAAATAATTTTCGAACATGTATTAAATTCTCGAGAAGCACCAGATTGTACAATGACGACTGAAGTTTCGAGCGGAATGTTATCACTCAGTCCGAAAGGTACTATACGCGAGGCTGAGGCACATTAAATTTTAGCGTTGGAAGGAACGTGAAACTTCCGAGTGTACCTCAGAGTCTGTAAGGTGCATGATTTATTGGAACAGATGATGATCTCGTGTATCGGTGAGATGCTGTTCGTGGTCCTAATTGGAGCCATGGATCGTTTCCATGAGGGAGACGATGTGGGCCTATCCTGCAAGATGGAGCACCTCCTTAAATCTGAGAATTTTTGGGATAACCACCGCCGGTTCTCCGTTCATCATAACCTGATTAGACGAATCGCAGGAAGCTCAACACCAGCGCTTAAGGACAAGGATGTGCCCTTCCTCCTCAATCTCATCTCTAAGTATTGGGAAGACCTTGCACCAGTCAGTAGCATATCTCTGCAGACGTCTACCTCCTTGGCTTTTTTTTTTTAGTATATACCAATTTTTAAAGTTTGGGAAGACCTTGGACATGAAGGTAAACGTATTTCCCCAATCATGTTATTTGACATATTCCTACAAAACGGACTCCTACTGGTTCTCGATATTACCACATGGTGAACAACTTTTTCACGCAATGGTACAACCTTTGTTTTCCATTGGGGACACCTTCAGGGTAAGGAGAAGGATCTGAATTAGATTTCTGGAAAAGGATTCACAAAAATAATCTGGAATCGGCTGGAAACTGCTTAAGCCGCGTCCGCTCTACAGTTGGAACAACCCGTGCTAACAAAGTGCCACCCGAGGCATCGCATTAGCTGAAACGATTTCCAATGCCCGGATTACAAGTAATCGTCAACGGACATTGATATTTAATCCCCAACTCACGTTTAAAAGAAATCTTAGGTAAATGGATGCCGTTCGCGGTCCAACGTTGCCCTTCTTGGCCGATTCACCATCATCACCAGCCATATTCACACATATCCCCATCCATACGTGATTTCATCCTATCCCAAACTGCTTGAATCCTTTACATTCCTTCGCAACTTTTTATTTCAATACTCCATCTTTTGCCGAAGGGCGCATCCCCTCCTTTGGATACGATTCGCTAGGGCAAACTGACCTCGAGTGCCTTACTCAGAGTGGTTGTATGTCACTCTTATTGCCTGCTTCTCTGGCCTTTAGGAAACAAAATGTGTCATTTTCATTCCAAAAGCAGCACGGTCTGTCGCTTTCAGGGTCACGATGGCAAATATTAGTTCGTAAAAACAGACCATGTGAATCACTGCCACTTGGGATAAGTTGTCACCGAAGGTGAGTTTACTCTATCTCTTTTTGTCCATCGGTAATCTCGGATGCACCATGACTAGAGTATGCAGAAACACTCGTAGTGTGGACAAGACTTCATGTCAGTTTTCCCACCTCCGCGAAAATCACTTCATACGCATAAACCCAGAGCATATCTTTGACAGAAACTCATTCCACTGCTTTCATCTCCCGTGGTTTAGTTTTTAGGGTAAGCTTTCGATCGGTGAGGATACAATTTAAACCTATCAGGAAATTTAAAGCAGCCCGAATCGAGTGTTCCTATGCAATGACCCACTAGTCTTGCCTAGTTTTTTTTTGCACCCATTGTACCAGAGTATTACTGTCATTTGTCTCATGCTAAACCAGGTAGTTTTCTAGAAAACTTCCAAATTTAGGACTGTCAGGTGCAATAGTCAGGTAAGTGCACTGAATATAATAAACCGACGGAATCGGATAAGTGAGGGCGATAACTCAATCAATTTTATGCCAGAATATAAGCCATCACTATATGCTATTTAATTGCAATGCTTTGTATGCAATTGTCAAAGTTCGAGATCAACAAAGTTAATTCCCTTCAAACTCAATGCTGTTGCTGGCTTGGTTAATGAAGAGGGGAATTCCATCATTCGCATTTCGCAGAGACTTCTCATGAGAATTACTTGCGGTCAATCTGGGATATTTTCGAAACGAGAGACCTGGCTGTGACAGACCCTATTTTTGGACGAACGAAGGCCATCCAACAAGTAGAATTTATGAAATTAGAATATTAAAGAAATTCACGCATATGAAAATTGAAAAACTGTCAGAAAGTAATGCTCTGCTGACACTTGTTACTCGACGTAATGAGCCTCATCTCAGAATTTTCTCCAACTGTTCTGTGGGTCACCTCATCACCTGATGATTACCTGATGACCTGATGACATGAAAAGCGGAACCTGTAGGATCTGGTGTAAGATGGATATATCCACCAAATCCTTCAAATTCCGCTTTTTTTGTTCATCTCATTTTTCATTGTTTTTTTTTGTTCATCTAATATCTCGAATGAAAACGTTTCCCGCGCAATGTCACTTTTTTCCTCAAGTGATTGAAGGGAAAAAATAACAAATATTTCGATCAGGTAAGTAAGGTGGATGAGCAATTATTTCCCTGCCCCAAAAGAGAAGCAAATCGATGTTTGCGATGTGGACCTCAATTTCCATCTAGCAAATTCTCGCTTTCTTGGTGCATCTCTTGTCTCGTTTGGAATTGCTGGTCGAACACAGTCACCTTGGATTCTCAAATAATAATTCGCATTCTGACCTTTGGAAGCGGCATGTCCAATGATAATCTCATGAAATCGAAAAGAAAACGTGCATCACCTTCGTTGCAAATATTTTTCCAATTGCTATTTGGGATCTTTGTTAATCTAACCTAGTGATCAGAGCTTTGCTATTTTAATTCTGGTTCAACTGAATGAACTCATGTTCCATCGACTGCATTGCAGCCGATGAAATATAAACCATTTGAATATTAATAATTTTTAAAGAATTTTATTTGTGAATAGGACGTGAAATTACACAAGCTTCCTGATTTTTATTTGTTATTAAGGCACGGAGAGCTGCATGCACCTCCACACCCAAACAAAAGTGAATGAATGGAGGGAAACACAAAGAGAACTCTATAATTCGTCTCAATTTAAGGCTAAGACGAACTCTTTAAGGTACCATCAGTCCTAGCTCTTCGGTCGTATTCATAATAAACACTTCGTATAGGGTAATCCTAATAAATTTGCAAAATAAATAGTTTTGGAGTCAGGGACTCGGCTTTAATCTCTCGACGACAAATTAAAAAAATTTCAGATCAAGGACGAAATGCGAGCGATTACGATTCTCTGGGAAACGGCATCAGCAATCCAAATATTTATACATACAGGCATGCACGCGAGTAGAAGTAAACTTAAACTCATTGGTTATGTGTGCAGAATCAGTGCTGAAGGTGTTTCAATCATTTTAAAGAACTGCTTTTTTTATGTATTTGTCAGAGCTAAACGGCCGCTCTCAAATTTGTTGCGAGAATGCGTCCCTGCAAGCGAATTGTGTGACTTCATTTTTGGTAACTTCTTAACTTTTGTAGAGGAATGGACAAAATTGCAACTGCATTCATTAAAAATAATGAACAGATGCAGTGGATCATCATCCACTGCATCGTTTTTTTTGTTTAAGAACAAAATAATGTTGAAAATGCAAAAATGCTGTTCATCTCTAGAGACAAATGCCATGTTTGGCAAACGTAATAAGACTTCTTTTAAGTACCTTTGTATTTGCGAAATTGATATTAAACACTATATGATGTCAACTTGGTATCATATGGCGTTTGGCTTTGATAAACATACTTTTTTTGTCATATCATTTTCTTTCCCACAGGAAGGACTTTTCACAGTAGTAAAGTAATTTATGGTCTACTTTAGACAGAATATCATTATCTCAGTGAAGTTTTCGGTCGCACATAAAAAACATATATGTTGAATATATCTGCAGCAGAAATAAGAATAGTTCAGTACCGAAAATTCTTCCTTGAATGTTCGCGTTATGTTTGTAAAAGATTTTGTAATCGCCGTTGAAGACGCTGCGAGAGCGTTTGACGGTGTGGCTGAAGATGACGACGGAGGACGCCGGGCTACGCGGCTTGCAGCCGAACGGGAGTTGCAGCCGACGGCGAAGTCAAGGATCCCACAACCTCTTCACGAGGATCTTCTCCCAGCTCGAACAGAAAACGGGAAAGAAGTTCCCCTTCGTCCTTCTCATCGTCGTCATCAGCGCGTTGAGTCCTTGCCTGGCTTTCGCCTGCTTCATTCTTCTCAACATCTATTGTCCTCTCTTCTGGGCCAAGGATCCCGGCATCGTTCGCATCAAACAGGTTTCGACTGCTCTTACGGATCTACGATTGTTTTCAAGAAGTAGATTTCAAAGATTGTGACGCTAATGGAAAAGAATAGAATTAGCGATTATGAATAGATAAGAGAAGTTTGCGTTTTGAAAACGAGTACTCCAAGCATTTTCTTCCGAGCAGACCTAACTTGACAAGTTGCGAAAACACATGAAGTTAAAGATAAATTTGGCAGGAGATTTTATTGCTTGTCTGTCCCTGAAAATATGATGAACTTACCCAGATAACTTTTGTATTTAAAATTTCAAAATAAAATCGTCGACTTGATCTTATGAATACATTGAATTAGTTGGATACAGGGAAGTCATACTTAGCGTGAAAACTTCACTTCCAATTTCGTTGACCTAAGATTCAGTCAAGTTAATTCATTATTAATTCAGCTTAATTTGTTTGGAATGATTTCCCCCCTTTGTCAGCCGGAGTTCTTGACTTGTTCGGAAGACGACCGGATCGTGGAAAAGGGAATGGGAAAGAGACCGGACTTCTCCGCGTTGACAATGAAACGGAGAAAAACTTTGATACATAAGAAGAGGAAGACAAAAACCACCCAGTTCCCAAAACCATCTCGAGTCGAGGCAAAGAGGCCTTTAGGAAGCAGACCGTCCAAGGCGAAATCCCTGAGGCAGAGCAGAATCGGCCTGTAACCACTGAAAAGCGCTCCAGCCTCCCCCGCATCCTCGACGTCAACAAATGATCGGATTTGCCACTGACGAATATAGACAATCTCAAAATAAAAAGAGGGTGACTTTAATTTTTTTTTAAATATCTCTATCCTATTTTCATGAATTACACGTTTTTCAGCATATGAAATCTCAGATAAATAAGAAAGATTTATGCCAAGTTTAAGAAAATCAGTCAGTAATATAAATGCAATAGCTTTTCAATTTGGAATCTGGAAGTGTGGAAAATTGAAGTGAAGAACCAATATGCCCACTACTTGCCAGGTGCATCCCTTCCCTGCGCTCCTGCAAGAGTTCAGTTGCTTTTTTTTTATTACTATTATCATCATTATTTTCTGCAGACCTAAGGCTTAATTCTCCATTCTCACAGTTTTTGTCTCGTCATGAATCACTGTATTCAAAATTACGAAGAACATCATGAGATTTAGTGAAGAGGACAAGTTGATGAAAAGCTTGCGAGAGATGAAAAGGTACAGGTCTTGCCGGTTCGTCGAGGAATTCCCGGGGAAAAAAAGGTACATCATGGTCTCGATATGTCCTTCAAAAAATTGTTGAAACTCTACCGATTGGCAGAAAACCTGGAAGAGGCAGGCCACGTACAATCCGAAATGCGGAAAATATCGAGGCTGCGGAAGAATTGGACCTCAGTCAAGAGAGGAAACCTCAAACTCGTGGAAAGATGAATATGATAAATGTGGTCGATGAGACTGCCTGCTGTTTGCGCCGTCATTTTTTGCATTTGTAACACTGGGTGAAATTCTTTTACACTTACAGGAATCTTTCTTATTCACCTGAAATGGCAAGTGTACAAAAGCACGAACCTTGCATGTTATAGGAGAGTTATATCTAATATTTAATAAAAATAAACTGGTCCCTTTTTTTTAAGACACTGTAGATATCAATAATCTTGAAGTACAACAGCAAAAAAACTCGACTTTCCTAAGAAGGTTTAAAAAAGAAGGTGTTCGTGTATAAATGCTTAAAAGTGATGAGCAAACATTTTAATTTCACATTCTACTAAGAATTGGGCTCATCTTCTCGAATAAAGTTCTACTAACTCAGATGGATATATCCTGGCCATTCAGCATTTTCGAAAAATCTCTGAACAGGTTTCTTCCAAATACATTCGAAGTGGTAAATAAAATTGAACAGCCCAAGTTCAAGGCATGAAAGCATGTCCCAGAGCTGTAAGAGTACGATTAACTTTGTCTCACTTTGCATGGATGCGTAGGGGTTTCAAAATATCTGGATCTCACTGAATCTAAATCTCGTGGTTGCCACCTCCAAACTAGGGTAACAACCACGAGATTCGATTGGATTGTCCTTTTTCAAAATATAGATACGATAAATACAGACACGTCTCGATATATAGAAACGATAAAATTTACAGCGACTGCCGTAAATTCTGCAATATTTTCTAGAGACTGAGATCGACTTATGCAAAACTGCTTGATTTCGTGGAGAAAACTTGTTCGAAATCGTCAGAAATAAATGTTCTACGTCTTCTCACTGTGTAAGCAATGAGTTCCAGACCGTAGGCCTTACCATACGGAGCGTGCGTCCAGTTTTGATTTTTACTTCCCGAAAGGTCTGGATTTATCTGTTTTTTTTAATTATTATTATTTATTTTAAACAATATAGCACCATATAGCGGTAGCACCAGCATAGACAATTGAGCACCAGCAATTGGACGCCAGGACGGCACAAACTTCCAAATTTTAAAATTTTATTTCTCTTCTTTTTTTCTCCTCGGCAAGGCAATTAGAGACGCACGATTGAGTTGGAAGTGGCTTGGGGAGGGGACTCCCGTTGGCGGCATCCATCCACAAAAAGGGAGAGAGAACATTGCCTATAGAACCCCTATATGGCCTATATATATAGTCCCACGTACTTAAAGTATAAGCACACATGGTTGCACACCCATCTGATGACGGATAGCGGCACACACCTCGCCTTTTTTCCTCTTCTTTTTTTCCGACCCCGAGGTGGTTCACCTAATGAGCCGGGTAATACATTAATGAGATTGAATTATCAAAGGTGCCGCCGGGAGGGGAGATGAAAAGGGGCATATGCCGCTATGCCACAGGGCATATACGCCTTCGAAAATCCGGGACCCGATTAAGATCTGGGCGCGGCCGTTGCCGTCGAGTAATTTTGGCTCATGCGCATTCAAAAAGCCAGCTCCATGCTTCAGAAGTTATACCGAGAGAAAGAAGGAGAAAGAATAAAGAAACACGAGGCAAAGAGAACACCGCCTCCTCAGTATTCCCGATCATATTCGTGATTCAGAACATTTACTGGAGCAATATCGCGCGAAGTATGCGTGTGCATGAGCCGCTCTTTCTCTGGCATGATATTCTTCCCGCTCCTTCGAGTAGATGACGCCGATCTGCGGGTATAAGATTACCGGGGATTAAAAGGATGACACCAGCTGGGACAAGCGGAGGAGAATCGAGGATGGAAGGGAAGAGAGAGAGAAAAAAAAAGGAGGGCTGCTCATTAGCACCTGAATAAATAAGGAAGCTTGAAGCGTTGGGGGGAAGGAGGATCAAAGGGACCGCCGCGTCTGACAGCCGTGCCCAATACAATGGAGGCCGGCCTCTCTCTCAGTCGAGTATATACCGGCATATCCCATGAGGGGGCAGTTGGGTTTCTTGGCCCGTCCGGATCGCATCTTGTGATGCCCTGCTGCCAGTTGGGTTTCTTAGCCCGTCTGGATTGCATCGTGGGATGCCCTGCCGCTCCTCCACCCACACCTTACCAGAAACGGTTTTCATCACGGTGGCTGTGACATTACAAAATATGTTTTCCTAGTCCTGCCCTTTCTTTTTCCGGTAAGTCACTGAATTTTTCCTCCAATTTTTCCTTTCGCAATTTTTTTTTTCCTGCAGAAATGTAAGAACCGCCAACTCGTCTCGTTGTTGCTTTAGTTTTGATGATTGCATTTCTGTCTTGAGACATCACAGGCGCTAGTCCAATACGTAGATTTATCATGCTGTTGACCAAGCATTCGGGATCGTGTGAACATTTGTCGTTCGTGTCACCGTGGCCTGGGAACCACGCATTAATTAAGCCTATTATGTGACCGCAACGTGCCAAAAGCGGTCCCGTCCCAGTTTCGCCTGCCGATTTCTCAAGGCAGGCCAAAGTGTGAGAAGAAAAGAGAACCGCACGTTTTCCTCGTCGGTTTGCGCCCTGGAACCCACTTTGAAATTTTCCCTGCAACCCCCCCCTTTCCACCCCCGCCCTCCCGGATCTCTTGGGGTCCATTATCTGTTTCCCCGGACCCGATCCACTACCCTCAGTGAGTTTTCTTTGTGGTCCCCCGCGATGGGTACTGAAGAGCCCGATAATGCAGACCAAATATTTGCTGTTTCTCACCTTTTTATCAAGGCAAACACCGGCTCTCTTCCTCCTCTCTGGGGGTATCTGGTATGGTAGTGGGGAAAACCGGGATCCCTGCGTTTCGAGTCTCCTGTCCTCGAGCGAGAGGGGACTTTCTTCTTTGGGACATCTTCGACCGACCGCCGATTTATAACTCGTAGAACAGTGCCAAAGTTCGAAATATCCTTTCCCTTGCTTTGTATACAGAGCGGGCCGTTCTTGATATTCCTGACGAACCGCAGCCTCTCCCCGACCGGATACAATGTATACGGGAAGACAAATAAATAAAGGGTAAGAGTGGAGTTACTGGGCTGTAACCAGGAAAGCCTCTGACGTCGATAATTGCACGGGAGGAGATTGCACAGTTATATATACTTTTCCGAGCTCAATCAAAGCCTGATTATCCTTTGAAGGGAGAGGAAATATCGGAGAGAGAAAGGATATAAAAGGGGCTTGATCAAGTGTCCAGGGGGAGACCTCGTCTGGGAAATGAGTTTTCTTTCATTTCCTGTCAATGTAACGCGGGTGTCCCCTGATATGTCCGATTTCCCACAGTCTCTCTTTCTCTCTTTCCCCCCTCGATCTCTCTTGTTCATCTCTGAAATGGAAAATCCTCATATCGTCCCCCTCTTTCAATCACGCCAGATGTCATCGAATTCCGCTCCCGCGTCGGGAGAAAAGGAGAAAAACCCCTGGAATTTCTTGTCAGATAAAGAACATTTTGACGCCGTGGAATTTTTCGGGTGCCACCTGTGTTCTGCAGAGCAATTTTCACGGTAGAGATTAAGGATTTGAGGGGAGTTTGATGGACGTATATCCCGATGAAAGGATAAAGCAGCTGTGTGGTTGCCGTCTCTGCGCGTCTTCAAACCGCGTGAGATGCGAAATTCTCAATGCGATTTTCTCCACATTCTTGTATTGGATTTCTTTGAGAAAATGAGTAGAGGCAGCTCTCTAAAACCACTCAAATTTTCAGATTGCCTTTCAGGAGGAATCCCACGTTCGTCCAAGCGCATTCCGCATGGCACCTAAATATTGATTACACAAGAAAGTTTTGAAACCTTTAAACATTTGTAATGAATGGCTACAATGTGCAATGAAACTGAAATATTAATAGAAGCAATAGATCTACAAGAAAGATTACGATAAAAACAAAAATTCCCCGGAGCATGCATCGCATCAGCTTTCCCGAGCCGGATCACAAAAGTAAGGCCAAAATAGTGACAATTTCTCCCGAGTCTTACTAAAGCAGAAGTTGGAGGTAAAAGAGGAAGAGGAAAGGCGACATATTCCTAACCTACGCAATGCACCATTTTATACGAGATTATCCCTTTTTTGGAATAACAAAATTGGGATACCTTACAATATTTCCTAAAATAATATTTCTTACGTTATGTAAAACCTCCCATATCCAACCCGTAGAAGCATATGATATATTGCATACCGGTTGGACCGTGCTGGAGAAGGCATTCCCGGCCACACAACACGTTTTTACAGCCAACAAGGATTCATCTGTTGTGACTTTTCGGCTTTTCTTTTTTTTGTATTCTTTCCGTTGAATGAGGGGGAAGGAATGTGGGGTTTCTCCCCGCGATTTGTCTCTTCCTTCACAGCATGGTCCTTGTCAAGCTTATATGGAACCTGCTCGGGAAATAGGCCTGTCTTTTCTTTTTCTCCATATACTTCCTGCAGGGTGTGGGAGGACATCCGCGCCGCCACCCACCGAGGGCGCTGGGGTGGGCGCGGATGTCCTCCAACCGAACTTTATGCCCTCTTCCCTGTGGCAACTCAATCACCCGCTTATTTGTTTATCCAAGTGCTCCCGGGGATGTCCGCCATAAATCTTCCGCTCGTATAGATGGCAACATTCCGAGAATACGGTAATTCTGTGCGGCGAAGAAAAGTAAACTTTACCTAGAACTCAACTCCCGATCCATCATTCCTGCTCATGGTGTAATTCCTTGAATATATTATTGTAATATGTAGAATAGTCCACATAATCGACACTTCCAGATATAAAGGTACACCTGTAAATAACACTCCACAAAGAATATGGCGTATGTTCTCATATTTCTTATCTTGTCCAAATATCTAGATCAGGGGTCTCAAACTCGTGGCCCGCGGCCCGCAAACGCTCTCAATGCGGCCCGCGACCCACCTGCGTACACACACAGAGAGAAACGTTTCAGGCCCAATATACTGTAAAATCAGAGAAAACCTTCAGACTTTTTTTTTACACTTTTCCGCAGAGAGGTCCGATCTTGACGATGCGGCCCGCACACCGAAATGAGTTTGAGACCCCTGATCTAGATCTATCCCGTAATATCACGGATCAAGGTACTTTCGCAAATGTCACTTATTCCAATATTTTAAGGTGTCCGATAATCCAACGGCGAAGTAGACTTGTCCAAGAGCTAGATAGCCTTAATACCTCTTTTTTTTCTTTGCTACGGGCTAAAAATTGTCGTCATGTCTTCTTGAGGCATCCGCCGAGCCGCGCCCCCCGCTGACCGGAATGAGTTATCACCTCCATCAAAAAAAAAGATCCTTTTTGCTTTGTCTCCGCATGGAAGACAATCCGGCCATACAATAAGCGAGGAATCTCTTGAAGGGAGACCACGTGCAGTGCCATTGCATGCAAAAACGTGCCACGTCACGTCCTTGTATCAGACAAGGAAAAAAAGGTACAAGAAAAAATGGACAAAGAGAGACGGGCCTCCTGGGGTTGTCGGAGCGGCGTCTTATGTAAACAGTCGGAGGTGCCCCGGGTGTCCTGCCGGGGTGTACCTGTGGTGAGCACCCCGGTGAGAGGCGGTACGCCTTTGTAGCGAGAAGAAAAAAAGAAAAGCTCCACGTCAGCCTTGACAGGAGGGAAGATGCTAGGAAGAGATGTCGCCTCCTCAGTCACAGCAATATCCTCCTCACGGGGCAGTTTCACTGCACCTTTATGCTATCACCGGTGCACCTTCACGTTACCTCCAGGGACGGTGAGGTTTATATTCGGACTAACATCACAGAAGATGCCTCCATAGAAGCTCTCACCTCAAAAAAAAAAAAAAAAAAACTGGAAGATGAATTCGTGAAAGCATAGGTTTGTGTGAGTTCCACTCATTTCGTTGGCAGTGCTCAGAATGACACGTTCAATCATGTTTTCCACCGAAACCGAGATCAGGCACTATGATTTTCTCATATGTGACAGTTCATGTATGAGCTGTGAACTCGTGTAACCAGTGTTTATCCGCTCGTAAACCCTCTCATAAACCCATTAACACTGCGTTACAATCCGCCATGCGGTGAGAATTGGTGCTTGAGTTGCTGGAGTATCCAGACTCGCATGATGATCAGCAATCGCCTGGAGCAAGACCAGCACGTGCACCCACGCAATATCGCCCAATAGTCTAAAGTTAGGCTCGGCCTTTCAGAGCCACTGTTGCCTCGGGCAACGAGCATCGTCTTCAAATAGCCTTGGTCTTGGCAGTGCGAATCATTTATAGTTTACTTCACTCATACAAGTTTTCATTCACTCGATGTAAAAAGGAGTCTCGTTTTGGGCTGGTCATAGATCGATGCTGGAAGCCTAGGAGGCATTCTAGAGCCCTTTTTATTTCGGGACAAACTCTGCCTATATGATCGATAGTAAAGAAAGCTCTAAATAAACAAGTGACCTGCAGTATATTCTACAATGAAAACGATTGCACTCGAAATTCTCTCATTCTGCCGTCAGGTCTTGACCGAGATTCTCTCTGCGAAAGTAGAGAGCTTCAGTTACACCATTTTAGACCGCAGAATGTATATAGGTGAAATTGCGAGCTTTCCCCACTTGGAATTGCATCGTCTCGTTCCGAGGTTGGTGCGAGTGGGACATCATCACATGCAAAAAAAAAAAACCGTTATTGGACACTGGCAAATGCCTCAAATTTCACCGGCAGCTGATTATAGTCAACTTTTGTTCGTTATGCAGTTTCCTGCTTGAGGAAAAAGCAATTAGGGACTTTTGAAAAAGAAAAACTTTCGCGATGCACTGGAATTATCCATTTAAGGTGCTCCAATCCTCCAAGGACTTATATTAGGCTTCCTCTTTTCTTGTATTCTTCGCCGACTTCAATAAACTTGTTTCACAAAAATCGCTGCGACTTTGACTTTACGTGTCTCCATGGCGACATTCCTATGGACGCACATTTGCGTACTTACATCAAAGTGTCACCTACTCCTGACTCTAAACATATATTCCGAATTTGATTGCCCAAGTGCTCTCAGAATTAGCCTCCACTTTTTCTGCCCGTCCTCTTCTACTAACTCTCTCCCCCTCCCCTCCCTATCCAAAATGTATGCCATGGTAATATGAGTTTTGAATTAAAGAGCAATGCGAGGTAGAGCAAGGACTGAAACAGCTAGAATGTCAGGGGAACGTGATTTATTTCTTAGAAAGGAATACACGAGTATCCGTGCATGTGGTTACCCGCAATCTCCATGTTGTTTCTCCTCGATCACCGATGCCACAGAGTAGACACCTTTTCAAAATTGCCTATTCTTGCCTGTGATGCGAGATATCACCAAGTGTGTTCGATAGTTTCGCCACCCAGGGTACATTCTTCATTGACCTTACGAAATGTGAATCAACATGCAATTTGCTCTGCTATCATGCTCTGCTCTGTGTGCTCAAGGACGCATATAACACTTCGAAACCGACTTTCTGGCGAAGCTTGCAGACTGCACGAGACGGTGGCTCTCAAGTCATCCGTTTTGAATCTCATGATTTGTTCAGCCTCGGGTCATTTACAATGTGGCATGCATGCAATCACTTTTCTACACAACATCTCACCTGATCTGTTGAAAAAATAGGAAGCTCTTGAGGTCCATTTTTGAACCCTTGTTTGAACCCTTTATTATTTCTTTTTAAAATTCTTTCTCAATATGAAAATGTCACTTATGGAGAGTATGCGTCTCCGGGGAGGAAGTGGAATCTCTCACTCAGCTTGTCTTAAAAATAAAAAAGCAATGAAAATTTGTCTATATCCTGCACGATCAGCAATCCGACAATAATTCAATCCGACAATGTAATAATCTTTCGATTATCACATTGAGACGTTGTAGCAATATGTGCATCCAGTGGCTCATGATAGTGACGGCCTATTTGAAGTTGGTAGCATGGAGTTCCTTCCTAAATCCTTCCCTTAGAACGATTCATTCAAAGTGGTAGTGGCTGTATTGAAACAGGCAGAGGCGAATAAGGATTCTACTTATTCATTCCCTTCATTGATGAATCTGAAATTTTCAGTTACAGACGTGTCTGTTGACCGCGAAGATTCCTCCCCAAACAAGCAGACGCATATCTAGGCCATGCAAAGGATCAAAAGTCTTCTAATCTGTCTACCTGTGCATCTGTTACCACTGAGAGTGACTAGCCAAAAGGAAAGTGAGAAAATCCAGAGGCGCGCGACGCAGGGCTGAACAATGGGTGAAGTATTATTCATCAGCAACGGTTCATCGTAAATTGGAATTAGCGAACTTAGCTGCTTTGCAATAGGTCGGGGTAATGAGTCTATGGGTAATAGATAGCTGGGAGCCTCGACCCATGTCCTTCTCCCACTGGGGAAAATTATCCATCTCAACCGGAGTTCATTTTATGTCCCATGCCTTTCTAAACAACAGTTTTCATAGTAATGTTACATTCATGTTGCTAGACAGATGCATTTTTTATTATTCCTCACTTGTGTTCTTTTGCAGATACTGTATTTTAAGTTTTCCTTCGTGTTTCCTTGCAAGTTTCTTTTCAAATTTTGCTCTTTTTATATCGTCATTTCAGTTCCTTTACATTTATTTAAATTCTCATGCATTGTACGCTTTGCATAGGAATATATGCCTCCACCTCGACTTTCATAGACTGAAAAGTCTTCCTTGTTGCTTGAGACTGTCCTGTCCTTCACCCCTGGGGAGGTGAAAGATGGGCCCCAAGACAATGGGAAAAGCGCTTGGGAGTGTTGTCCACTTGTCAGTGTTGTCATTATAATGCCTCCACGGCCCCTTATCTATCAATGAGATTCCGGGCATACCAAACATCATCTCTATCTTGGGACCCCATCTTCACCCCGTCTTTTTTCTTTTTCGACTTTCGCCGCCAATGTCGATGGGTAGCGACTCTCCGCTTCAATGCACTTCAACAGAAAGAGAGTAATCTTTCTCTTAGGAGAAAGGGGGTAACACGGGCCACATTGGTTCAACTATGAACTCCACATATATTATCATAGGCCCTTATAGGAATTAGATCAACTCAGGATAACAAATTCCTGTGTGGAATCAGTTCTTCAATTAACATTACTAATATGTTCCTTTCTGAAATCAGACAATTTAAGATTGATTTAGAACTGCTGCCAGGCAGGTAGCGAGTATCTTTGAGCTAGCAAGGAGCCCATTTAGCGTGTAATGCGTTCTCAAAAAGTAATAAATATGCAAAGTACCGAACGACTTCTGACTGTTCATGGACAGCTGAAGTTTCAGGCTGTGCTTCTCAGCTCTACCCCTCAGGCAGCTTTTGAATATGTTAGCTGTCCAAAAACAGCAGTCACTTAAACCTTTTCGGGGTAAACGAACATAGCATTTTACCAGCAAATGTTTGAGAGTGAATAGTTGTTAAAGGGGGGGGGATTGACCTAATTGCTGAAAAAAAAAGATTTTCCCATCGATGCCAATGTCAAGATGATAAAGAAAATAGAGCGCCTACAAACTTTCTTCTCCCACCTTGTGGGTTTTGTCAACTTCAAAACACTGGGTTGCCCACAAAAAGGATTCCGGTCTCGAATTGAAATAGCTCAAATTCCAATCTAGGTAGAAGGTTGTAATCGCTATTAGTAGAAGCCAAAATTAATCTCAATCAGTCGCAAGTCATAGTTTAGGTGAACTACTGATTTCCCAGTGTACTGATTTCCATATTTATTTATTTTCAGTACCAGCGTAATTTTCCACCAAAATTTCCCAGTACCATTATTTTCAGCATCAAAGTTCATTAGCCTCTATACCCCAGCAAGGCAGTTTCCAAAATGCATATGCATATTCATTGCCAAAGGATGGCATTGGTGTTGTAGGTGATATTGAATAAAATATTGGCAAACATGCTTTCCACAGTTAGACAGTTATAGTTTAAGAATTATGTTTTACATTGATGTACCCGACACCATTCACCAATTTCCATAATATTAAATATCTCCCATTAGCTAACTCTGGATTGTAACACTGTTTTAAGCATATTGAGTCCTCAAAAACTTTCTTATTTTATCAGAAGGTGCAATTTACAGAGACCGATTCGATTGCTTGATACTTCAAAACTTTGATCTTGTTTTATCTTATTTGAAAACTCTGGAGAAGTCTCTCAGGAAGAGAAGAAGAATTTACGACGAGTCAAAGATGATCTCAAGCTCAACGACCCCAATAAGCATCTTGCAGGCCGTTGGTTCATACTTTTATATTTTGCAATGAGGAGAAAATAGGGGAAGGAAGTAACCTGTCAGCAATTGCTGTGAAGGGTTTTCAAAGGGTTGTTTACTTGTTATAAAGAAGTTTTAGGCTTTCACTTCAACTTCATAGTGAACGGGGAACTCATTGAATTACGAATCCCTAGGAAGCTCCATGAGACATTCAAGGGTACGATGATAGTGATGCCCACCAGTGCAAGTTTCTCGACAGAGAAAGGACTCAGATAACAACGAAAGGAACTGATTCATTTCGATTAATCCAATGGAACGCAGGGAGAGCAAATATCAGTTTTTAAAGAGGCACTTTTTTCATAACTCGTGAACGAAAACATTTTTATTGCCATTCTTTGAAAACCGTGATATTCGAATTCTGCTGACTTTTTTTTTCTATCCCATACGGATTAAGGCAACACAGGGAGACCTATTTCTTTACACAAGAAAAGCAACTCGAGCATTTATGGAATTTATTGAACCGTTTTGAGAATGGTCCGATGGTTGGAGGGACGTGGAAATCCTCATTGACTCCATTGAATCCTCATCGTTTACGGTATTTCAGTAGAGAGAACATTTTTACTTGTACTCTTTGTCCGTACCAGGCCAACTGTAAATATGCATTATGAGCGAGTTTCGTAACTCTTGCTTCTCCAGAGTGAAAAGGTAGACCCCGTATATGGAAGTCCTGTCGGGTTATGACCAGGACTACAGCCTTTTTGCCCAAAATGAGACACCCCATGCCGTTCAGATGAAACCAAAATTGTACTCACTCTTTTTCGAGGCTGCTGTAGAAGATCATGTGAGCAGTATTTGAAGTAGTATGATGATATTGAATGAAACATAAAAGGTTGCACTCTCAGTTGGAGTAACAGTTTGCCTGGCATTATCGATATTTGAGGAAAGTGATATTTAAATTCATGGAAATGTGAACATGGAGGGCGCTGATATCTCACCGTTAGGATTGACTGATTAACAGTGGTTTGGCAGGTGTTGGATATATATACATGTGTAATTTTTTTTGGATTCTTGAAATTCACCTAACGTAATTCCGCATTGGGCAAGTTGTTAATGACCTGAAAAGAGGGGTCGAAATGTTGCAGAGAGTGAAATCTGTGTTATACGTGCCTTGCAGGGAGATAGATGAATAAAAAGAGAAGGACGGGCGGGGGATCCTCCATCCGTCTCCTCTCTCCCTTTGATCTTCTCCGGCCTTGCCGACTCTCATCTCCATAATCTCACATGTGACACACTCTCTTTTCTTTTTCTCTCGCTCTCTATATGGCCGTCCGACACATCTTTCCCATCCACAGACTCCTCCAAAACAATGGTTAGGTGTTTTCTTTTATCTTGGCGCCTGGGCAGAAATTCTCAACAGTTCGGGGTTTTCATCAGGGCATTTATTGAATTCATAATTGAGCTACCCGGTGATATTTTCAAAATTTTCAAATAATCAGCATTTCAGATTTTTTTTTACACTTTACATATCTTCCTGTCATAACGTTGACATTCATCTTCCGTTTGCTTTCCACTGAGTGTACCGAAAAAGTGTGCCGACCTTGTGCAAAACAAATACAGGCGGCCGCTGCCAACGAAACTCTTATATGGTAAAGTTCAGTTACTTTTTTTATATTTATTATATCTTTGAAGAGATAAGCGTGGCATACAGTCGTGGCCAACATGTACTTCATCAGAACCTCCCCTCTGCAGTATCAAACGGCTGAAAATTCAGGATGAAAATGAGTTCCGGTTCGGCATTCGGCACTCTTTCTTGCAACATTCTCTTAATCTCGTTTTCTTAGTTCTCGTTCTTCACACTGATTTCATGGAATATCATCATAAATTGTGCTTCGTGGTAGTTACTGACCATTTAATTTTATTTTTCTTCTTCTCCTTGTATAGCCAAGTGCCAAAGATGGGGTTGATGCATCTAGTCTTGTTTGGTGTGTTCCTGTTGGTCGAGTGTAAAGCTCGATCCCTGTCGGGTTTGGAATATATGCTCGGGAAGCAAAGGAGCCTCAACGAAGTCTCCCCTTCTGGCCCGATCCAGACCGATCATTTCCTCAGACGTGTCTCTCAGGTAACGACACCGGATTCACTTTTCCTTCCTTTTTTTTTGAGGAGTGATGGGAATTACAACTAGTCTAGCGAAGAATGTCAAAACCTTCACGAAATCCCATTTCCGATCTTTGTTTTACGACCCACGATCCCCTCGTGCTTGGGAAGGATTCACGTTCCTTGGTTTCATGTACTTGAAATCTATCATTTCTCTGATGTCGATGATGCGTCTTGTGGACAAGAAGAGGTACATACAAAATTTAATGCAGCTGTCAAAATGTGGCTTACAGCATGCAATTGAAGAGCACTGTCCATCTACAAATGCGATAGAATGGTCTGCCCAAAACCTTTGTTTGCTGCTCCTATTCCAAAATATATGAGCAATCTCTTTGTTTGAAAACTAATACAGGTGTGGAATTTCATTTATCGCTATTCACAGGGTGGAAATCTGAATCAGATTGTCCGTTGCGTTATTATCATGCCGTCGTCCCTCATTACCGAATTTTTTGTCTCAATCGCGTCAATATCTTCGTCATAGCACTGAAAAAATGTATTTTTTTTATTTATTTCTGGTGGTAAGGCCCTGCATCAGTGTGGATTCTCCAACCCGAGTCCCTTACAAAAGGTTCTGCTCACAAACCGGACTGTTACCTGCAATGACGGGAGCCCAGCCGGGTAAGTTATGCGAAATCACCCTCCCTCTCTCTCTCTCTCTTTCCCATGGCACTATCTTCTTCGATGATCTCGGGTGGGAAATAAATGTTTTTAACCCCCTGCCGCCCCGATCGAAAGAGGAATCGCGCCGCAAAAGGGATACCGCAAAGTAAATAAGCAGCTGCTCCCGCTCCTACTCAATGATTGGCATCGCTGGTTTCAGGGGCGTCCTGAACCCACTGACCAGAAAATGCATTCGCATTATTATTTTTTTAATGCAACAGGGGAGGGGAACATTAGACAATGTTATTCCTTTTAAAATATCCACTCTTTCGAATGTTGCATCCATATTTCCGATAAGTTTCGGACATTTATATATATATTTTTTCTAGATCTAGATTAATGTCTCTAAATGTCTACATCACGATCGTCATGATTACCCGAATCAAATTTTCAAGTTTCACATGATGATGCGACCTGAGATGAGAGGCGGAGATGAAGCATCATCATCGTTGGAGGGCTATAATGACAGGGTGCCCGAGGCAGTCTGGCTCCGCCCTTGGGACCGAGTTGTGTGGTCTCCAGGCTCGTCTTCATCTCGGTCGTGATCAGGGGGACCTATTTGTCAAAATCATTAGGCAGGGGCGGAGCCCCCCCGTTGATTTACTGGCGCCCCCCCTTCGGTTGCTAACTAGGTGCCTTGGAGGAACCGACCTGTAATCACTGCACCCGACCACCATCAGGGTATGCCCTATGCAAGACCCAGCATATAGTCCATCATGGGCTTGTTTAGATGATGACTGAGGCCTTGGGTCTTTGGGTCTTCAGTAAAATGAATCTAATTCCGACGATTCCTTTTCGTCAGCGTGGTGTTTCGTCGGCTTTTGATTTCCTTTCTTTAAATATATTTTTTTATATTAATATTATTTCATGCCCGTCACGAGGGTCGTTGCATCCAAAGCTATGGTTGTTCTACACGATTCAATTAATGACAGTCGATCTTTGGAATTTCATATACTCATCACTCCAGTAGTAGGAAAATAAGTAACAATCACGACGCACAATAATCCGATTGCTCGTTATTGTATTGAAGCGTTGTTAAAATCGGCATTTCTGTGAAGAAATTATGATTCAAAACTTATAAATAGCTTGGTGGACTTTCGACAACTTCAACCTATATCTTATGTGAGTGACTGAACGCGTAGATGCAGTAGAGGAAGGAGCTAAGGGGGATTGAAGAGACTCATGAGTTTCGGAAGCCCCGTTAGCGGAGCAATTACGAAGGAAGCAACCAGGGGGAACTTTCCCTTTAATCACGGCTTCGCATGCCGCCCTGTAGTAATAGGACGGAGACTTTTCTCCTTCGGGCATCTCTGTATAGATATACCGATGATCTTATGCGAACCCTTGTTCTTGTCTTCACTCTTGCGCCATCGGAGAGCCTGCCAGTTTTTTGGATCCTCGTTTCATCACGATTCGTCATGATATAAGATGTACCCCTAGAATGCAGCAGGTGGAAACAGCAATCGACAAAAATAGGATTGTAAATAACAGTTTTTGATGATGGGATAAATTTAGTTTCCAGACGAGCGAGTTAACCATGCCCACAACCGCATCATTTATTTGTTTCTTCTTTTTTTTTTTTGCTGCTACCGCAGCTGTTACCGTGTGGTTAACCTCTTTCTGAACTGATTTTTTTCCCCCCTTCATGAATATGCAACCATTTATAATGCCATTTCAGGTTCTACATTAGGAAGTCAGCCGGGAGCAAGCGTTGGATCCTGTTCTTGGAAGGTAAGAGATTTCTTGTGATAGGGAAACCATTTAACAGGCTTGCCCCTATTAACATATTGTTTTGCCCCTAATCGGATATAGGCGGCTGGTATTGTCACGACGACCTGAGCTGTCAACAGCGTTGGATGGAGAACACTCACCTAATGACTTCCTTCCTCTGGAAGGATACCCGGACAGGTAAGTGAGATTTATTGCTGACTCACTATCGACGCCATTGTGCTGTGTGATCATTCTTCACCTGGAATTATTCTTATTGAGTACGTAGATTTATGAAAACGGCATTTTAAAAAACTGTTATTGAAACTGTACATGCTTCTGTTATTTTTATGCATTTCTTCATGCATTTATGTAATTCTTTCTCTTATGCAGTCCAATATATCAATTTTACTGACCGTATCTGTGTAACTTAAAAACCCTCTGGGATGTTTTCAGAAGGAGGGATCCTGTCTCCATACCCGGAAGAGAATCCATACTGGTGGAACGCAAACCATGTGTAAGGAAATTTTTCTTCTTCATAACTCATTAATTTTTATATTTACTTTTAACCCTGTTCCGTCCATTTATTTGGGCACGCTACCCTCATCCATGTCCAGTTATTTATTCTCGTCTTATTAATTTTTCACTTCTGCGTTTTCGCATTCGCTTAGTTCTTCTGTTGAAGCTAACAGGCCTTTTTTTTCTTCAAAAGATTGAAACTCAGGGTATCCTGCTTCTCGTCGTTTTTATTGCTTTCAATCCTGGATATCATGCTAAGCCTGACGAAGTTCCGGAAAGAATTATGAATATGCTGCGATAATTTTTTCCCCCATTTGAATCCCATTCCTATGTGTCTTCAGATACTTGCCGTATTGTTCGAGTGACTGTTGGAGCGGGAGGGCGTACCCATACCCGGGACAGAGGTTCGCATTCCTAGGGTCCCTGATCGTGGAGGAGGTGATAAGAACCCTGGTCAAGAATCACGGACTCGCCTCCTCTGCCTTACTTCTTCTCGCCGGCTCCAGGTTTCACTCTTTCACCATATCAAATATACGATTGTATGAGGTGTTATAAGAAAAACTAAACAGCTTTCATCTTCAGTTACTTCGATATTGGAAGGTTTGTGAGAAGTATGAAGAAACCAGCAGAAACGACACATGATGGCAGCTTGTTTCAAGTGTATGAAAGTTCTTGGGTTTGCTTGGGAAAATGACAATGAAGTCCTATCTAGAAACCTTTTCCCAAGAAAAATATACGGGAAAAAACACCGGCGACTGTGACTTCTTGCACTCGTTGAGATATTAAGAAATACTGGCAGTTCCAGAAGAAATGGCAGATGGTTTGAACTTAATAAATATCACGCTTATTACATTTTTCTGCACCATTCTGCAATTGAACAGGGACAGCAAATGGAATGCAGGAAAACTGGGAAGAACATACAGGTACTTGAGAGAGAAAAATAAGGCTAGTCATTCCCGTGTGCGTGGTCAACCCGGGATCCTCTCTCCGAAACACTCCACGACAATATCAAGAAAATGACAAAGTGCCCGTCAGTACCAATATTCTGTGTATCCTGAAGCTCTTAAGCTAAAGAAGCTCTGGGTAAGACCTCTCCTGGAGGAGAAAGAGAAACTTGCAATTGTTGATTGACGACATGACGCTTATCCCAATCTTGCGTCGTTTTTTAGTTTGTAGCTCCGCGGGAGACTTTAGATTTGGATTTGTGGACAGTTTTGAATTGTCTGAAGCATAAGATGTCACAAAATATCATGAGTTGTCATTGGTTTTCTAGCTGCCTTGGGGCCATACTTTTTTTTTTTTTTTTTTTACCAACATCGTTATTTTCTTTTTACGACAATGGCATTAGGTTGAAATGGAGAATTCTTGGTCATTTTCTTAAGTCACCTCAGCAGCTTCCTTGAAGTGCAGAATATTGTCGTCATGTGCCACTTCTGATACTTCCATCAGATTTCGTGAAGACCTCCAAAAATGCGATATAGCGTATATAATGGCGAACAACAAAGTGAAATAAGCACTTATCCAAGGAGAAATAGAAATGGATAGTATTTTCTTGCCGATGAGTGAGCTTTTCGACCTAATGAAATTCTAGAACAAATCCAGGGTTTGCAGTAGTTTTCGGAGCTCGGAGTTGCTCTTGCAATGTGGCTAGTGAGTGCTCGCCTCAGAGTGGCGCGAGAACTTCTCTGATTGGGAAGTTCTCATGCCACTTTGAGGGATCCGAAGGTTTTCTTTCACTTCGCCCTGTATGCATGACACCGAACGAAATCATTTTGCTATGTTACATTTTGTTCCTTTCTTTGCAATTGCACGAGTGAGCCGTTTGTTGAAACTTTCAAGATAACAAAAAATTAGTTCATAATGAAAGCGAAGAAGGATGAGTACATTAGTAAGTATTGATCTACAGTGCAGGCGGGACAGGGGTGTTGGTGAACCTGGACAGAGTCTCCGAGATTCTCCGCACTCTGGCACCAGGGGTAGAAGTCCGAGGTCTCGCGGATTCCGGCTGGTTCCTCGATCGGAAACCCTATCGACCTGATGCTAAGGCCAGGTCGCCCGTCGATGCAATAAAGGTCACTGAAAGTCACGGCTAAGGACGAGGTCTAGGTTGCCCGATACGTCAATTCAACGTTTCCTTTCATTCTAGGTGGGTGCCTACAGGTGGAAGGGCCGTGTGCCTGATCGATGCCTCAATCAGTACCCTTCGGAACCCTGGAGTTGCTACTTTGGGTACAAAATATATCCCACGCTTAGAAGTGAGTTCCTTAAGCAGTTCATATCTAGCATACACCCCCTGCCTCATGCGTAGGTGGTAGGATATTGATAGGAGCTACCATGCCCCCCGCTTTGCATTCCTTGTAAGCCCTGTACAGAAGGATCCATCCCCTTCATTTCTGAGGAAGCTTGCAATTTCACAGGAATTTCTCTGATTTTTGACCTCACTCTTCCTCGCATTTCAGCACCGTTGTTCGTGTTCCAATGGTTGTATGATGAAGCGCAGATAGAAGCGGATAACGTGGGCCCCCCTGTTTCTAAGGATCAATGGGACCACATCCATCAGAGTGGGGATATGCTTCGAAACACATTCAACAACGTCAGGTGAGTTAAAAATCTAGCCAAGTCCCAGGAAAACTGAAAATAAATAAATAGGGAGAATGATAGTGAGCGAACGGGAAGATAAAAAACCATTTGAATTATATTTATGGAGGCTGAGAAATATTACTGAAGATTGAAATGCACCAAGGAAGAATGAAGAAGCGAACTAATCGCTAAGCTCTGGAATATTAGAATAATGTATTTTTACACTTGTTCTTCCTTGTCCAGTGCGGTGTTTGCACCGGCTTGCATAGGTCACACGGTGCTTACGAAACAAGATTGGGGTCAGGTGAAGGTGAACGGGGTGACCTTGCCCGAGGCATTGAGATGCTGGGAACTCTCTCCCCATGAAAGGAACCACTACCATCGGTACCCTGATAGCCCCCCTCTCTCTTCCTACTCACTTCATCTTGAGTAAGTCCAGGGCCATTAAGCTAAATATGCTAATATGCCAGCAATGTAAATCTTTTATAGATGAGGCCAACTGCACACAGATAAATAGAACTGCAGTGATAGAAGAAGGGAATGGCAAAATCACAGAAAATAATACGATAAAAACAAATAAATAAATCGGAGGTAGATGACGGTCAGGGTCTCATATTTTGCTTATTCTTTCCATTCATTTTCGTTTTTTAATTTCGAACCTTTTTTTTAAATTTAAATCAATTTATGCTGTATGGGGTTTTCCTCGCAATACATTGCAGCTATAGGCTGAAAATTTTCAAGTTGACCGTGAGTGGCTCCTGCTGTTTGTTTTTCATTAGTGATGTGAAATGGACTTCCTCTTAAGTCAAGAGGAAGCACGCTACTTGGGTGTGGAATTTCGGAAGCACTTAATCCATGTGGGAGCCTCTATATTACATTTTGAACTGGGGTATCCCCGGGGTCTTCCCATTCCAAGCCTTTCCCACCCTCGGAAGAGTGTATGACGTGCCAGAATGACATGCAGTTCAATCCAAGAGAAATCGAACAAGAAACGCTGATTGGTGGAAATCGATCAAGAAGTTGCGCCGGAGTCAATCTCATTTGTCTCTTTCTTTGGGCTGATGCACTCCTTTCCGTGCAAGATGCATACTTAAGAGGCATTTTAAACCGAGATCTCGCTTTGCCATATGCTCCATAGTACCACGAGAGATCTCAGTTTCTCCTTCAATTTATCTTGGTATCTTGGTATTTCCTAATTTATCTTCCAGACTACCATTTCAGCCTTTGTAATTTCAGCTCCCTTTTTTTTTTTGAACATTCAGTAGCAGAATGAGGCCAGGAAGGATGCGACTCGAGAACAGTCCCAACTTAGCAGAGATTTTTATTTGTTTTGAAGGGTCTTCCCTTCTCCTCCATCCTAGACCTCTCGGACGTATATCATATTTTCCGAACTTCGCAGAGTCCCAAGGCAATAATATGCAAAGACAGATGTCTAAACTGTTCTTCCGTAGCTTTTGGTTTATCAAGATTCGAATTTAAATGAAGACACGATTTTTTCACTGCTTCTAGACTGCTTCTTCTGTTTCTGCTCTTTCTTTTGTCTTTCTTCGGCATTTCTCCCAGGTCATCTAAGTTGAAAATCTAGTCTCTCGCGTGGCTTGATACTCGTATTTTCGCAGTATTTTTCACCCTTGTCGACTCAATATTAACTTACGCGCTTTTCTATTACTGAGTAAAACAATATATATATTCAGGGAATTGAACTCCTTACTTCAATGAATGAAAATATTAATTCAAGTTGTAACTTCAAACTATATCCTACAAATTATCGATATAATCCTGAAAAAAAAAGTTCTTGCGCGCGCGAATGTTTTTGAGACTAGGACTTCTCGTGAAAGAGGTCTATAGTTACGACAAGAAGAGAGGTGCTTAGATTGCGGCTCACAGAGTGTTTCTATGTGACCTGAGAGGAAATTTGGGGAAAATAAAAAAATTGGACTGCTACTGCTCCTTTACTCTGTCTGTCCATCCGCCGCCCCCTCCCCCCAATCATAGGCCTAGGTTTATGAATTTTCATTTTTCGATTTTGCAGCTCGCGGCCCCAAGGATAAAAAATGTTGGTACCCCTGCATTAAAGCAAGTAAATCTCATTAAAATTCAATACGTATTCCGTGAGGGTGAGGCTTAGGACTTTCGAAATGTCCCTTGTAATAAATCCTGACCAGCTCAAGACTTGCTCGCAAGGCGTACCTGCTGCAAAGAGAAACGCGACTGACTTTGTATCCAATACATGTGCGCGTCAATTCCTGACGATTGCCATCCAACAATAGCCGACGGTTCATCTACAGGTCAGCATTGATGCCTGGAAGAGGGGAGGAGTCAACCATGCAGGCAGACGCTCCCGTAGAGACAACAATCGCATCGACGTCAATTTCGACGACGATCTCGCCATCGACTTCCAGCGAGAGAGTGAACCCGCTGTTGATCACCAACACCCTGCACCGGGATCTCAATTCCTCTCGGACGAAGGGTCTTTCGCGGATTCTGGAGACTAACTCTACACGACGGAAGAGGAAGAGGAGAAAGAGACACAGAAAGGGGCGTAGAAGGAAGAGGAAAGGTAGGAGACGCGGTGATGAAGAGGAAGAGGAAGAATGGAAAAGAAGAATGAGGAGGAGGAGAAGGAGGAGGAGAGAAAGGCGGAAGATGAGGCAGAGGCTGAATAAGAACACTCTTCTCTGTAAGTTGTGTTTATACTTGGCCAATGATTTCACCACCAGAATAAAGAATCTAACTCCTAATTCTCCCTCCGTATTTCCACTAGATGCCAAGAAACGGCCACCAAACTTTTATTTACTTGGCACCAATTATCATCACATTTCACGTATCAAAATGAACAAAGCGATTTCTCATTTAGCGGGCCTGTAGGACAGAGATAGCCTCATTCGGTCTTTCTCTCTTTCTTTTCTGTCCAACTGGAATAGATCCAGCTTCCAATGGAACTGTGACATCCCGGGTGGGAAATTGCATTCCCAGCGAATGCTTGTAATTCCCTGCCTTTGTCCAAACTGGCCGTCTGTATTCCAAATGCAGAGCTTTGACAACCCAGAGGGAGTGTTTTGCTCTCTTGAAGTAGTTCCAATGCTCACGTTTGCTGGTTAGATGCTCTTGCGCACTGTTCCGAATCTCATACCTCATAGTTGCAAGTATGCCATGTCATCTCTAACATGTACAGCACAGCAAAAACTGGACTACAGTGCCGTACTAAATTGCCGTACATTCCAGGCACAAGGAGACCAGTTACACAGGTCCTCCCCAGTAATCTCAATTGATCTCCAAGTAAACGATCTTTACAACCTCACCTTACTATCACAAGTCTAACCAGAAGTGGATACGGTTGCAATTGCTGAAAATTTCGTAAGTTTGATGGTGAAAGCATATTTTTGGTGTGGGCTCATGCAGATTTGGTGATTGCAGCACCTATGATGATGCAATCATGTTTGTATTTTAAAAAAATTTGGTGACTGACTCCAATTCGGTGAAGGTTCATTGTCATCTAATGATGAAGTTCACATTTTTGTGGCCTTGGTGAGGAATTCATTATCATCAGTGGGAGATTAAATATATATCATAAACTTACGTCACATTCCCAATAATTTTTCATTTTATTCACGATTGGTTCAACAAATCACCATAGGTTGCAATTTGAGCTCTTTTTTTAAGTTGTGTCCATGTTGCAAAACCGCAAATTTTCAAAAATGGGACGATTTTAGTGTCAGCAACGGTACAGTGGCGTTTTCTCCATCGGAATTCTTTTTTCCCTTTTCCAGCGTAAATCTTCCCTCATTTTTCCGGAAAAAAAATAAACAAAAAGACAATGTTAGGACAGAAGTAATGCGTTACAAGGTAGAATTTAGGCCTACAAAAATGTTGCGCAAAGTCTTTACATTCATGCCCACAAGAATTCAGATTGGAAAAATTTGTCGAAGGTAGTATGTATTAATAATTTAAAAAATATGAGAACTTGTATATTTACTTCTTCCGTTTTCAGGGTCAGACGTGAGTGACCACGAGAGATCAGAGAGGTCCCTCTTGGACCCACACGTGGAGCACCGATGGCGGCATCATAAGGACAGGTGCAATCACCGACTCATTGACTCCTGCTCCTGGCCCATGTGCAACTCCCAGTGCCCTCCCATTCGGGACCCACGCACAGGTATATCCCCCTCCCCCCTCTTTATATGACTTTTACTCATCTCTTGCATATATGTAATATTGTTTTTCAAAGGGAGTACGAAGTGACATCATGACAATTTTTAAAATATGTAAATCTCGGGTAATGATCGATCTCTCATCTTCCCATCTCTGACATTTTTTTATTATAGGAAAGGAGATGGACTTCATAGACCTGCTCAAGTCCTTTGGCCTGGACATGGGGAGTCTGGCCGATGCCCTGGGGATCGACCTTCACACGCTCAACAACATGGACCACAACGTCCTCCTCAGGATGCTCACTCGACAGAACTGAAAGCGCTGCCTCGATCCAGGGTTCCCTCATTCGTGGCACTGCGATCCGATAATTGGAGGATCTGTGTTCGACTAAAGATAAATGTAGCAGCAGAGAGTCATTCGATGTGACAAATAGAAGACGGTGGTCAGACATCGTTGACATGCTCGTGCAAATAGGTACACTGCCCTGCAACATGGGTTGCAACACTGCTTTCAGAGGCAGCTAAACCTCATCGTAATATCATTGTGCCAAGGTTCTCAGTGTGATAGGAAGTGTCGAGCTACAGCATCGCGTTTGTTTGGTACGTAGCAGAAAACAATTTCCTGGACCCCCTCGTCTCAAGTTCCTCACCTGGGAAGCATAGACTCCAAGTGTGATATAGCTCGTAGTTTCGTTATTATTAAAATGGGATTTTATTATCCTTATCATATCATGGTGCTGGATTTGACTCTGAGCAGGCCAACAAAGATACCTCATTTTAAATGAGGTTTTTTTCCCCCGTCATTTTCATTTTCCGTCAATTATGTTTGTCAGCGATCCACATTCGATCTGTGATGTTTTATTTTGTCCACTTATTATTTTTTGTTATTTTAGGGATTATTTTTTTTTTGTACAGAGATTATCATTGCCTGTGCAGTATTTGACGAGTGATGCTGGCTCCCGAGGTCCTCTCTCTCTCTTGCTCGTGTATCAGTATTACTCAAGTATTCCCTAGCGAGTCGCAGTATTTTGGAGGAAACGGCCAGGTGAAAATGAAACAGGGCATGTGATCTTTTACAATAGAAGTAGAGCTATTGCAGTCACTTCTGTCTATGTATCCAGGCTCGTATATTCCCCTCGTTGTTGAATCTCCAAATCATACTGGCATTCCTTAAAAAAAAATAATTGTTTGCACTCTTCTACCTCCATCAGATATTGTAAACTGTGCAGTGTTTCCGGTCAAAAGTTGTAGCAGGAATAAAAGTTCTTTCTTTAGGTCTGAATTTTCTTTTCTTCCAAGCAAAGGACTGACTACCTTGGATCTATCTCGCTGGAAAAAGATAAACGGGCAACATCGTCTTCAAGGTGACGGAGAATTGTCAACATATTCACATGAATTAGTTTTTGTCCTTATCACGCTGGCTCGAAGATCTCCTCCTCCTTCAGCATGATGATGGAAATGAAGGCCAGAAGAATTCCGCCCCCCAATGCACCCAGCAAGACATAAGTTGGTGAAACTGTGAAAAAGTTCGCAAACTTAGAAATGATGCAAACCGTTCACCCGGCAAGGACAAATTCCTTGTCCTTTTTTCTCCCTACCTGGCCTGATTTTCCGATCCCGATCAATTGTATCAAAACCCCGGTTTTTCTCCCTTGGTTCTATTTCCGGCTTAGATGACCAGTTCAGAAGTCGACCAGGGACTCTTCTTAAGGACATCAGAATCGGGGATGCGAAGAACAGGTTTTTCGTCTTCTTTGACTCTCGGCTGCAAAAAAGGCTTCCTGATCTGACTGGCCTAAAGTTCAACGAGTTCTGCATTTATTTTTTAATATGTGCGTTTGAACAATTAGTATTTCTTCCAATGGAGAAACAACTTTGACAGAATCAGATGGCCTCCTCGAACAGAAGGGTGAATCTTCCAACAAGGCTGTAGACTTCTTCTATCTGGTCGAAATTCGCCTCGCGACAAATCGGTCAGGCCTTGAACTGCTATAAGCAAACGCGACGAAATCAACAAACCCGTCAGTATCTTCATGACGTTGCCCGGATATGGGGATTTTACAACAGCCACCAGACTTGGATACTCACCTATCCATATTCCTCGTATTTCATGCGGGATGTGAGGAATGATTCGAGAATGATAGGACACAGGAACTTCATTTGGGAAAAGCCGAACTAAAAAACATCGAACGCCTTTCTGAGATAGCCTGTCTTTCTCTTTCGGGACTTCAGGTTTGGCAATGTAGAGCATGATGAAATTAATCGGACATGAAACTTTGAAGATTTCGTGTCTTCTATTGCTGCCTCTACATATCACTTCGATTTTTCCTGCAGGTAGCTCTAAACACAACTAGGCACATTTAAATGTGAATCACGTCAAAGAAGTGGATCAATCGGCCTGAATGAGATGGTTCAACCAATTTATTCAATCTATAACGCCACAAAATTGACGCAGTTGAATGCTTTTGTTCTAATTCCGAACCAATCTGTGGCCTCAATTGATTTTCCCTCGCTGAATCGTGGTGTGATAGCTCGTAATAATCTCCCATTAAAATCAAAATAAATAAATCAATAAACAAAACAGAAGTATTGCAAGCTTCTTGAGTGGATATAACCTTTTCATTCCACTCTTATGGCTTGTAATTCTGTGCCGCAATCTCAGCAAGTTCTACGCTGTTGGAAAGCGCTCTCCGCGTTCTTCGATTCAGTATGCGATACGTGGGGACCCATACAGGTTTCAACGGGGCAAAGATGGAAAGATGGAAGAGGTCATTCCATTCACTGTTTCCCGACGACTCACTTTTTTGGGGAATGATATACAGGATTAATATAAGTTTCTTCCCATGTTCAGACAGTAATAATATGCAAACTATGCATCGTAAAGCTGTAATATTTGGTGCGAACACTAATGGGACCATGTGGAAGAGGAATATAGGGTCATCGGATATGGCCACCAGTATTTGCTCAATAGCTACATTTGTTCAATGTGACCTCCCCTCATGTCTACGATTGCTTGTATTCAGGATATTCAGTAATAGACGGCTGACCGTAGCTGTTCAACATCTAACATGGCCACATGATGGCGAAAGCATGCTTGAGGTCCATTAAGGTAACAGGTGCAGCACGACGCACAACAGCCTTGAGATGTCTCCAAAGCCAAAAGTCTGCTGGGGTGAGGTCAGCCTATTCGCTGGGTGCAGGGCCGGATTAAGGGGGGGGGGGGGCAAAGGGGGCAGTTGCCCCGGGCCCCACTCTTCCAGGGGGCCCCCGAAGGAAATTAAAAACGTTAAGTTCAAAAAAAGTATTGTATTTGCGTAAAGTAGCGGGGGGGGGGGGCAGGAATTCACTTGCCCCGGGCCTCGCAACTTCTTAATCCGGCCCTGGCTGGGTGCATTAAGTTGGAGACATCTGGCGGCAGGGAACATAACAATGAGCTGGGGGGAGTCAAGCGCGCAAGCTTCAATGCGTTTCTTATGGAAACATGCAGATAGAAACTGTTTTTACTACGAAAATGCTTCATTTTTTGCCAGAGGGATTTCTTAAGGCCAAGAATATAATATAGTAAGTAATCGATGGGCTGAAGTTTCTATTTGGAGCATCCAGACAGCCTGAAAGGCCTGTTATGATGCTTCTTTCAGTCTAGGTCTTAGCTTTCTATGGGCCTATGAAAATCAAACTTGGCATTTGCTTTCACAGGATAAATAGCCAACATTAACTCTTGACCTGATACGTTTTATCATAAAGTCAGGGCCAGATTAAGGGGGGAGGGGGGGGGGGCAAAGGGGGCTGTTGCCCCGGGCCCCACTCTTCCAGGGGGCCATCAAAGGAAATGAAAAACGTTAGGTATATGCGTAAAGTGGGAAGTGGCTCCAAGAATCCACTTGCCTGGGGCCTCGCAACCTCTTAACCGGCCCTGCTGAGGTACTAATCCAAAAAGGGTTTCTGTCATGGGTTATGATTTACGCCCATGAAGCACAATGATACGAAAAAAAGCTAGCAGTACTAAAGGGAGTACAGAGGCAATGGGAGTAAAAACTTCAAGTTTAAAGCAGTTTCTCGATGACGTGAATTCTATCAGGAACTGGAAGATATCAATAATATCCCACTCATATCATGCACTTGTACCTCACTGAGGCTCATGATTCCATGGAAATCCTTGCATTGGTGAGTGGCATTGAGAAAACCTGCACCTCCTCTGAAGGTGAAATTTGATTACGGATTGAACCACGTTTTTTGCACACCCCTTAACTCTGTCGAATTTATAACATGTTTTACTTCGGCTAGAAGCTCCCTTTATCAATGTCGTGGCTCTAAAGTTTTGAGAATATATTGGAAGGAGCCCCACGTGAAGAAGGATTGTACAATTCTGTGAAGACATGGCTTTGTTCCATTCTCCTCCTTATGTGCGACTCCCCCCAGTCATGGGCGGCGCCATATTTAAAACGAGCCATCTAGTGTTAGTGCACCCAGCGAATAAGACCATGCCTTTCTTGGCCATTGGCTAGGCGAAAGGACAATGTTCAGTCGATTCCGGGACAGCCTGTATAATCACTGGCCTCTCTACCAGACGTCATTCTGACTGAAGAGATGCCACGCAACAAGCTGCCCTAAGTATAAGTATCGCCTTAGTGAGACATTATTACAGTAATAACAGCAATGCCGGTGAGGCGCTACGGTCGTTCCGGCGTGAGACGGGGGGCTTAAAGGATCCTGTAGTGCCAGAGCATGCTGAAATCTGGTTAAGAAATTTGAAAGGACTGGTTCTGTCGCCGATGCACCCCGTTGTGGCCGCCCTGCCCAGGCAAAAAAATTTTCGTTGGTTTATCTTCGGGCCATAGCTGGGGGAGTTGGCCCATTTTCGGCGAATGATTGGCCGGCCAACTCACACTTGTGAGTCACTTGTGAGTTGGCCGGCCAATCATTCGCCGAAGATGAGCCAATGTGGCTGATAAGGTTCCGAAAACCAGCGTGAGATGGAGCCAAAGTAGTCGTAGTGGGGAGTCACCTCTCGGATACCACTGAAATGAGTCCCCTGTCCCTTTGACACGGTTCCCTATGGTTTCTCACATAGATCTCAGAGGAAAACAACCGAATTCCTTTAAACATTTCTCTGAAGATGTAACCTAATTCTGGCCTGGAGGTCCATGGGAGGATCTTTCTACTTTTCACAATGTGCCCCGCAACTGCATTTTCTCCGCTTACTGGCATTGTCTTCCGTGTCCTATTTTGTGTAAGGTGTGTCTATCCTCCCGTGGGAGGACAGACACCCTTGCATTCCCATGTGATTCCCCTCTTGGATGCCTAATCATCCAGAAGATCAAGTAGCAGGAGCAGTAGGAGGCCAAAGGTTGTATTCTTATCTCTGCTAGATGCATAATGCTGTTGCAGCTTTTTTTTTCCTAAAACTTTTCACCATTGTGAAAAGTCAGCCGATGATCGGGGCATGTTCGGTTTCCCAACTATGAGCCAAAATTGGCCCAATGAACGGCCAACAGGACATGCCCGACTATAAACCGGCTTAAACCAATCGTGAGCCAACCATATACCAGTGATGGTCCAACTACAGCTTATATACGCGTCAACGAAAAGCCATCGATGGCCCGATGAAAAATTTTTTTGCCTGGGAAATGCTGCATACCGTTTATCTCAGCAAAGTCGGCCTGATGATTTGTTCAGATGGTAAAACCATCCTATTGGTCAGTTGACCTCATCACGGTCAATTGGATGGACTTTCCAATTAGCAAGTTTTCAGCGAGCTAACTTCGCTGAGATGAATGGTGCACAACCTACGTAACAATGTCAGCTGCCTTTCGGAAAATGTCCTTGCATGTCTGGTCCACATACATAAGATGACATACTTGTGCAATGCCATTTGCTTTTATCTCTCGCTTCGATTGTGGCGGTGACGGCGAAATGTCCACCAAAGCATGGGTTAAGGGCCATGCACACTGCGAAGAGCTGCATTGCGACCACTGCGACCGTCGCAGTCCGTTGCAATCGGTCGCATTGGAGATGCGTGGGACCTTCGCAGACGGTCGCAGTGCGCTTCGCAACGGAATCGGACGGGTCAATTCCTGTCGCATCTTCGCAGTGGTTCGTGCTGCGTATCTACTGAGTGCAAGTTATGAAATCCTTCGATACACAT